TAATCTATAACTGTTATAAAATATATTGGAAAATAGTCAAATAAAAATATAAATATTAGTGTGTGAAGTATACTACATTAAACATTTCAGTATTTATTTATACATTTAGTCAATTTTCAATTAACATATTAGAATATTATAATACATTTTAAGTAACATATTTTAATAAATATTCTATATTATGTAGTATGTAACTATTCAAAACTATGTATTTTTAGTGATATCTAATAATTGTATTATTTAAGTTTTTAACTTTAAACTAACATTACAAATTCTTTAAAGAATGGTAAACTGATTTATGTCTATTTGGCTTTGAAACTCACATGTTCATCATATGAAAAATTATTGCATACAATTAAATTAACATGTAAAATAATAAAGGTAATACCATTACTATATATTTCATGATAATTCCAAAAATGAAATTCAATACTTCATATACTTGAATCTTTTATAAAGTTTTATGTAATCAAACATAAAAACTGTGTCTTTTTTTACTGCATTTATACAAAAGGTCACCATATTGTAATAAAACAAAACTGGTCTGCAAGAAGCCAGGGATATTTTACAATATTGTCATAAATATCAAAGATAATTTATCTAGTTATATTGAATAGTGTCTTCTTAAGACTTACTTTAAACATTATTAGTTATAATTGATTAGGAAATCAATATTGAGAAAACAATGACATAAAATTATAGTTTGATAAATGTAATTTACAAAATAAGTAAAGCCTAATCACAGTCTACAAAGCCCTCATTCTTTCAAAAATAGACTATGGAGATATAATCTTCAATTCGGCAAAAAAAAAAGTGCTAAGTACCCTAGAACCCATACACAATCAAGGCATACGTTTAGCCATAGGAGCCTTTAGGAYGAGCCCAGTTGACAGTATACTCTACTACGCAGGAGAAGCTCCCCTCCATTTCAGACGCCAAAAACATATCTTAAAATATGTAACTAAAATTAAAAATCTGCCTCATCACATAACCAACCATATTCTTCACAACCCATTAACCCCTAATCCCATTAACCCTCTAGAAGAACATTATTTGAAAACTTTAAAACTATT